GCTGGAAACAATTGCTTTGCTGGGAGTGTTCAGGGGTGGGCTTTGTTCAGTTTTGGTCAGGGTTTGGTTTTTGGGTAGGGGTTACTGTATGGCCTTTGGATGAGTCTTGGGGACAAGATCTCAAATAAAGTTGCAGCCAAATATTCCTGAAAACAACATAACAGTAATGTGACACACGATTTTTGATCAGACCTACGACGACTTGCCGATGACTTAGCGACTAAAAGTTCGTTGTCGTCCAGGGGGGCTGACATCAAAAGCCTAGCTCAGCAGTCATACACCCACACCAAGTCGAACAGTTTCAACGGCGAATGAGTTCATTGTAGGCATACTTTTCTTTATGTCGGTTTTTGTTGCTAGGGGGCCGAACAACGACGAACTTCCGATGACTTAGCGACTAGAAAGTCGTAGTAGGGTGGAACCAACGACGAGCCCCCAGTGACTCCAAGAGTTTGAACACCCCACCAACGATTTCATCACCAATGACTTCATCATCTATGGCCTCCACCAACGATTTCCAAAAATGGCCTCCACCAACGAATTCCAAAAATGGCCTCCACCGATTTCATTTGAGAACCCTACCAAGGATTAAATAAAGGGTCCATCAACAATGTTGCCATCCTCCAGGATTTTTTGAGTTTAGGACTTTGCAGCTGATTGGGGTACAGGGGCTGAGAGCATCTTCAGCACAGTGGGGGGCCATGGAGTCTCCCATGCTACGAGCTGGGGTAGCTGCTGTCAATGCTGCCTTGGCTGTTGCAACACCTAAAAAGGATGAGAAGTCTGAGCCTGATGCTTCATCAGCAAACCAGATGACGACTCCACCAAAGGAAGAGGCAAAGGTAGCTAGCTGTTGGTTTGAAAGTTTTCTTCTGTTGTGCTATATGGTTTGTTCTTATTCAGTGAATGTCTTGGACCTGACTATTTTTCATAAATTCAGGTCAGCATCAAGGCGGAGCAAGACAGTGCAAAACGTCGCAAAACCGAGTGGCATGCTGGATTGCAGAAAATGCCAGGTGACACCACGCTGTGCAAGGAGTTTCATGTGCTCACCAACAGTCACCATGCTGTCATTGTTGGTTATGTTTGATGAACCTGTTGTTATGCAGGAGATATTGGACTACTTGTCGATGTTCACTGATCCTACCGAACAAGTGAGTAGAGACCAATCAGCCTCAGCACGGGTTCACCCAGCAGATCTTGCGCTTGAAGCTTTCAAGGACGAGGAGACCACGTATCTCACCACCCAAAAGATCCACACGTTCCTGCAGGAAGCCCATGCAGTTCATGGGAAGAAGTTTGAGATGGCTGCATGGCCTGCCTCTTGTTTGTAGTTTGGCAACACGTGCTCTTGACTCTTTGTGGCTATGGTTCGACCATTTCCGATGATTGCTTTTCTTACACAAACACTCTCAGGATTTGGAAACCGTTGAAGCAAATATGGTTGGCATGAGGCGAATTTCGGTTCCGCTGACTTCCATCGTTCTGCAACGCCCAGATGATGGCCTCCCCTGTATTGGGGACTGGCTGACAACAGCCATCAGTTTCATGTTCTCAGGATCCCGACTGGGCAGGGAACCTTTGGACCTCAACGCTCACGTCATGAAGTCTGATGGGGCCTTTTTGTTCATCAAGAAGGGATTCACGCGCTTGATTATTGGCATCACATTTAATCATGTTTGCTATGGTCTTGGTATTTGCTGCTGCTATCATTTTGATAAACTTTCTTTTGTGCCCAGTCCATTCTGCAAGGACTGCTCCACTCTTATTCTTGCTGATTGCTTCAGACATTGACCCTGTTGCAGGGAAGGACTGTGTGGCAAGAAATGTGTTAATTCGGTTCATGAGGCAGTGCCAACTATGAGATCTCATGAATAGTAACATGCAGGACTTGATCCTGCCACTACTTCCAGCATTCAGTGAGATGTTCAACTTGCCCGTGAATGTCTCCGTGACTACTGATGCTGAAATGGTATCATTTGATTCGATTCAACTGTCAGCACAAGGGTCTGAGCGACAGAAGAAAGACGTGCCTGGATGAAAGTCAGCGATGATTGTCAAATAGTTTTAAAGGCGCTATGCTTGTTTGTTTGTTTGGCTGGTTGATGTGATTCCAGCCTAGATTATGAAATGTGCCCTGCGCTTCGAGAAGCTCATCCTGGAGCGTCGCCTGACCGAATCTTGCAGGGATTCCAATGACCAGGAATTGCTCCAAAGCATCGTGAACCGCTACAACGGGTACAAAGCCACAGCGGCGCTGCGGAGGTGGCAGATTGGTCCTGACATGATGTCTGCGATGTTGGCAGTGATTTGCGGCATGACCAGTGAGTCCAGAGACCTGGTCAGGATGCATTTAGACCACAACAAGTTTGATGAGAGTGGTTGCTTGGTTTTGGCTGCAATATGTTCACATTCTCAGAATTCTTGCACATGAGTTGTTGAACATGTAGCTGATGAAGTCCATTCTTGAGGCTACAACGAGAGCCTTCTGCGTTCCAAACGCCATCAACTGAATCAGTCACCACGTGGAGTAGGTCAATTTTGGCAAGACCTCCTCACAGCAACTTTGGTTGTGAAATCATTAGATTATTGTTGATATTGTTTCGCTTGAAGGCATGTATGCGGTGTAAGATGTTTGCTATCCTTTGCCCAGGAAAATGTTTGTCCTTTCATCAGGTGTCCGGAGCAGCACAAGCCTTGCACTTCCAAAAGTACAATCTTTGGTGGTCAATGAACGCCAAAAAGGTGAAGAAGAGCGTGAGGAACCGTCTTCGGTGGTCGGAAGAGACATGGGGTCGCAACATTGACCAATGTTGCCTCTTTGTCTGGGGCTATCAACCAGTGCAAAGCAGACACGAAGGTCTTTGAGCTGGGGTTGGTATGCTTTTGAGGTCTTATTTGTTTCTCATAAAGTCTCAATGAGTTTGCTTTTGCGAAACCTTCGGTGATTAAGGTGACTGAGGATATGCTGGAAGGGATGCGGGTTAACTTTTTGCATGGGACCCTCGGCTATACACATGTTTCTTGTGTGTTTTATCCACCTCAAATGTTGCATACTTTCTTGACATCCAGGGACTACAGCCAAGACTTTGACGCCATTCTGCTTGCAAAGCCAACACGGCTGAATGTGCAGAGTCTATCCATGTACCAGGATCATGTGGCAAAGGTGATTTCCCAGAAGCTTGCAAGTGACACTACTGATACGAACGTCGAGGTTGAGGATGCTGAGGACCCATCATGTGTTTGTTGAAATTGGAGTGGAGGCTGAAATCTCTATGGCCTGTTCTTTTGAGTGCCAAAACAATTCAGGAGCATTTGAAGGCAGCAGAGTACAAGGTCACCATCACGAGCCTGAACCATGACTTCAAGGAGGCTGTGGCGTTCAACCAGCGACGTTGCAAGGTGGGGGCAACGCAAAAAAATACACATTGAAGTCATCACCGCAAGACAACCATTCATGTTTTCAGGTTGATGGCAGCCGTCATGTAGCAAATGCACTTCAGCTTAAATTTTGGAGCTCCAAATGAAATGATTGACGTGAAATGAAATGAGTCCTATGAGTCCTGATTTTCTAAGGTATTGCACATGCGTGACCAAATAAAGATCGGCTTTGGGGGTTTGCGAGAAGTTCATGGAGAAACGCTGCCTCCTGCTTCGTCAGATGGACAAATCATCTTTGACCTCTTTTGTCAGGCGAGTACTCACTGATGCAAATCAGAAGTTCCAGAACGTGCAGGTCGATAAGATGCATCACATCGGAGTGATCGATTTGTCGAAGTATGGGCGCCTCACAGTGCCTGACATAAATGAAGCTGCTCAGTGGTCGCACAACATCCTCTCACTCAATGAGCAATTCAGCGCCTTGCAAGTGATGGCTTTCATGTGATTGCTTTGGATGCTGTTTGGGTTTTTGGTAAGAGATAAGTAAAACAGGCATGGTGCTGGTGGTCTGTCCTATGTTGGCTGGTGAAGCCATCTTGGGTGGATTGCGTGGCGAGAACCGCCGGATCGAGGATAAGTTTGACCAGATGGGGATGGAAATGAAACAGGTCCAGATACTCCTGGACTTATCATCACAGCAGGCAAACAGGACAGTCACAATGTACAATATTACAATGTACAGTCTATGCGCTTGAGTGTTTTGTTTGTGTTCAATTCTTTGTTCCTGTTCAACATGGTGGCTTGAAAGGACAATGCCCCAAAGTCTCAGTGCATGGATGGTGGTATTGGACAAGACCCTTGGTTCACGCATGACGCTCTACAAAGCACCCCGTGGGTCTGAGCGAGAGCTCAAGGATGCAAACGCCTTTTGCAAGAACGACTTTTGGTCGCTGGTTGTTTGCCAACCATCTCAGCCTCTTCTTCCAACGGAGTATGTCACCCCAGAAAGCGGTACATTCTTCAGCCATGAACAAGGAAGGTCATTGACTGAGCCTGTTTGGCAATTAGTTCTATTTTTAATTTTCTATTTGAAGAATCCTGTTCTTTTAGAGGTTGTTTCATATACACTAATCATATGTCAGGACAAGCAGGAAACTGCTCAGTGGTTGGCAAGCCCATCTACCATCAGGGCTATATTGGAAGCCTGCCTGTCAAGGGTCAGCTCCTTGAAGGGCCAGACCTGCATCATCCACCACAAGACGATGTATGAAGGCAATCTGGAAAAGGTTGGTGGGGTGAAAACAGATGGTTGAAAGATTATTATTTGGTATTCTAGAAAGCTATGATACAGTTGATTGGAACTGTTCTGGTTGTGCTATTTCCTGCCAGGTGGTATGTGACTTGATGATGGAACTCCAAGATTCATGCCACCTTTCCTGCTTCAGTGAGACGGGGAACCCTGATGCTTTCAACTATTCAGTCACCCAGGTCAAAGACAAATTGCTTGAGGACAGGTATTAGTTTTCTTTTCTGTCAGTGCTGAGTTTATGTTGTTAGGGTTTGCTTCATCTTAACCACATGGGAAGGAATGGAAAGCTGGTCGTGGTTTTGTCGGGTCTATGCAGCCCAAGTTTGTGCCTGAGCCAGATGTCAGTGACATTCGTGAACCTGTACGTCCGCCTCTCAAGCTATGCACAATGTCTGCAGATGGGATTTTGGCAATTCCCAATGCCGAGCGTGAGAAGTGGCTGGCAGATCCAGTTCGCAGATGCTTGGACCATGTCATTATTGTTTTTATGTTTGTATTTTTTGGATGGCAGTATGTTATTATGTTGTGTTTTAGTTGTTTTGTTGGCATCCAAGACCCGGATTGGAGAACACGATTGGCAAACTTTGATGCTGTCTTCAGTCCTGCTGCCAGTGGACAGCAGCAGCAACAGCAGGCTGCTGCAGCCAATACTTCCACAGCAGAAGTAGACCTTGCAACGCCAGTGGTCCAGCCTGTGCAAAGCCAGTGTGCAACTCCTCCGCACATGACTTCAGATGAGTTCAAGAAGCGGTATCCTGAGATCACTTGCAGCGTGACCATCAACATGGGTGCACAGTCGATCACGTGCCACTATGCGGACAACAAGATCTTTCTTGTGTGTACAGCGAACTTCCAAATTCCGGGAATTTTGAGTCCAGATGCTCGTCCTATCTTTCTATATGCTGGAGGCACTTGGATCTCAGACAGTTCAAAGGCTGGGGGTGTGCATGTATGGTGTTGGTGTTGTGCGTGTCAGATTTTGGTTTCGGTTTGTTATCTAAAGGATGTTGGTGTGGTTCTTGTCTTTATTTGACCACATCAGGCGAAGGATTTCTTGAGCAAGGAGACCAATGCAAACAAAGCTGTGGAATTCCATTTGGAGAGTTCTCAAGACATGGATGCCAAGCTGAGCTTGCTTTGTCACAAGTTTTTAGTTTGTAGTGTTCTTTTCCCACTATTTTCCCTTGAGTGTTGGTTGACTAAACCTTTGTTGCCAAACTATGTGAGGTGGTGCTTGAGGAGACAGGTTCCTCTGGTGTATCTGACAGTAGCCCGATGACCCTCTATGCTTTGTTGACTATGCTGGAGAAGCGTGGTGTCTTAGATGCAAAGCTCACCGGCCACAAAGTGGAGCGTCCACCAGAGGTGGTTCGTGGAGAAGCTTCAGATTCCATTACCATCGCCCATGAGGCTTTCAGTGTGTTCAGGCCAAACCCAGTGGCACAGGTGAAGCAGGTCAAGGCAAGCAATATTGCTGGATTCATTGGTTTGCGCGCGCTCACCAGCTCCAACTTCATTACATTGGCCTGGCGACCCTTAGCATTAGAAACGATTGGCTATATACCAAAATTGTGTGAATTCCTGTTTTCAAATTGAAGTTTTGACTTTGCTGTTTGATATTGCTTTTGCCTCAGGAATGAGACATTATGCTCGGGAAAAGGTTCTCGGGCCAGCAAAGCCCTTGTGGTACGTCAAAGGATCAGGGTGGGCGATGGAAGCAAACACCGTGTACCAAATTGTTTGAGAGATTCAGATGCTCAGTGGAAATCACTGTGCGCAGTGATCTTGGGTTGAGCAACCTTTTTGGCAAGGTTTGATGTTGCCAGAGCGCAGCATATTTAGCAGCAGCAACGAGGTGATGTGTGGAAAAGAGAGTTGTACACAATGATTTTCACCAATGGATATGTTTTCAGATTGATTTGGGCTTGCAGTCTTGGATGTGTCCTTGCTTTGCTCAAAGCCTATGGGCTGGACATTTTGCTAACAGGGTTTCCGTCGAGCGCGTAGCCTCTCCAGTCATAATGAATGCTGAACATGGGGTCATTGAGGTGGAGTGTGAGACTTCTCCAGGGAACACCTCACTAGTGGCCAAGCACATGCGACCTGTGGTTCAGTCCTCGATGGCCACATTTGGGTTAGGTAGGCCAGTTGAGACTCAAAGTGCTGTGCTTGAGGCTGTCCAGTCAGCCAACCAGTCTTGTCAGCGCTCAGACTCCGAAAGGACATTGGTCCTTGGTGAGAGTCCAGGACCTCGACGAACACCGGCTCCACTCATGTTCAAGCCAAGTCTGACCTTGGAGAAATTTATCCCTCAGGCTCTTCCTGTTCCTTGGTTTGGTCACTCGTTTGATGTTCCTTGGTTTGATGTTGTTTCTGCTCCTGGTTTATGCTCCAGGTTGTGCCACCTGTGGAAGCTGGTATTGTGCAGAAAGAATCGCCCCTCAACCGAAGTTTGGCTGCGGCGTTTGCTGCTGAAGCATCACCTTCCGACCTTCATTTGCTGAAGTCAGATGGTTATGGCAGTGGTGAAGTTGAAGATGAGTTGAAGCTCAATGGCGATGGTGGTTCTCAAGGTGTTGATGCACCTTTTCCAAATGGACGAATGGAAACTTGGAAGTACAATAATGCAAAATCATTATTTTGCGCATGCCACCCAAGAGTTTTCATTCTTTGCATATTCATGTTAGCAGTCATGAGTCAAAGGCTGATCTCTTTGATGGTGGCAACCCATCTATTTCTGCTGATGCCAAGCCTGATGAATCAGGGCAACCATCAGAGGCTTTGGTTTGTCATGAACCTCTTGCGTTCCTTTTTCAAAGGTTTCTAAAGGTTGAAAGTTGGTCAGTTTCTCAAACGTTTAAAGTTTGTCATTTTTGATGAAATGGAGGTGGATGAACTTCTTGAAGATGCTCAGCCTGTCGAATTTGTTCCTGCTACACAACCACGACTCCGTAGGTTGCGCAGACTTTGTGACCAGCCAATGCCAGCAGAAGATGAACATGAAGAAGAAAAGGAGGTTGGGTGTTGGGAAAATTACTAATACAATGTGTTCTGTGAAGTGTTTCATTAAAATCCAGCTATATATATAATACTAAAATAGCGTTTGTGGCTCTCCCTGACAGGGCCATACCGTGAAAAAGCAGAAATTGATCATTACTGCTGATATGTCAGAAGATCAAGTTGCTGAGATTCAGAAGCTTCGGGCAGAACGCCGGCGAGAGGAGTCCCGCAATTGGCACAAGCAGTTTGCGAGCAAGGGTGTTTCTCTTCTTTATATGGTTTTTGGGTTTTGAATCTGTGTTTTGAATCTGTGTTTGTTTGATGTGATTCCCCCTGTTTCTTGTGTTTTCAGACCATGCAAGGTTCCCAGAAGCAGCTCTCAGCAGCAAGCAGCAGCAAAGCCCAAAGCAGCTCCCAAGGTGAAAGCGGCTCCCAAAGCAAAAGCTTCATCGTCCAAAGGTTCCCCAATGCATGAAGCACGCTGGGCATTTGCAACTCAACGTCAGAGTTTGGTTTTGTTTGAACTTTTTTGCATGATGTTCTATTCAAAAATCATTACCCATAATGACAACTTTTCAGATATGATGTGAAACCCAGCAACTCAAGGTGCGCAAGTTCTTTGAGCAGAACCCGGGTTCCAAAATGGTTGCTGCAAGTGAAGCATGGATGAAGTCTTCTGAGCGGGCATCTTTGATGGCTGCAAAAGATGGAATCCAAATGTAGTTCCAGTCCTATGATCTTCGTGGGTTGCACATGTGAAATCATGTGTTTTTGGGATGTCATCCGCATCCCTATGATGAAACATGATGGGACCATCAATGCTCCTGGGGGGAAAAAATATTGCTGGAGAAATGAACATGAGGACAGGAAACATTATACCCAAGTTCATTTGATTGTTTGAGTATGAAACAGTGATGGTTTGTTTGGCGGATGATTTGCACTGCAAGTTTTGACTCGAAACTATTTCTGACTCATGACCGGTTCTTGTGCACAACCATGCCGTTGGGACAACGCACGTTGGACATCATCGAGTGTTTGGAGGCATCAAACATGAACAACTGTGCATCTCGTGTGGGATGGTCTATGTTGAGACCTTTATCACCAAGTGGCTTTTTCTAAAGAAACATTGCGCAGATGTATTTGGCAAACTGTGTTGCTAGTTTTGGACAGTTTGGGCAGCATCCATTTTTTACAAACCCAGGTCAGACTGGAACCAGCTGAAAACTATTTCTGGTGATTGTTGCTGTGATCAACGCAGTGCGGCAATTGCACGTGAGGAAGAACTTGAGCGGAGCAGGTTAAATTTAGTTGACCCAAACGAGGTCAACAGTTCACAGTGAACACTTTTCAACATGATTGCTCTTGCAAAACAAGTGTGTGCTGTGTGCGCTCAGTGGCTGCTATGGGGAGACATACACAGACCATAAGCGACCTTTGCAAAACACAACAAAGCATTACATTTTAACCAAGTTCCAAAAGATAAGGTGCCATGTTTTATTTCCAAATCCCAGGACCACCCTCACCCTGCACTTTTTCCCCCAAGCAATGTAGACGCCCTTAGGGGTTCTTATGGTGAGTGAAAAGCAGCTGTGCTTAGATCGCTGTGCTGCACGGCTGTGACCGGCTAATTTGCTGCTATTTACAGTACATTCATGCCTCTTGAACTCCTCCAAGTGCATTTCGCCTGTGCAGGCTCGCAAAATCTGGGTGGCCGTGACGGGTGCTTCTAGCGACATAGTTTCCACATCCCACCCACATGTCTCTTGATATGTCCAAACTTGTTTGCTTGGCTTGCTAGCCACCGAGTAACATGGCTCTTGGCCTCCTGATACTTCCAGACTTTGACAGCTGATTACTTTGAATTGACAGCTGGTTACCACGAATTCAACTTGTAGGTTGGAGGCCGTGACTAGTAGGTTGGAGGCCATTGCTAGTAGG